GGAGCATGCAGGAGAAAACAGGTCAAGGCAGCCAATGAGATTTATTCAGGAATTTGGAGGAATGTCCGGGATTTCACAAGACTTGGGCAGAATTTGGTATAAAGCAGCTGATTTCCAGTAAAGAAGTACAGAGGGGGGGATGAGTGCCAACGACCTGTCTAGTCAAATTTACTCAGACTATCTTTAAATACATAAACACGTGGCCCCATTCCAGAACTTGGCGGGAGGGAGGAAAACCAACGTGACGCGCAGCCGTGGACAAATTTGTTGGTACAGCTCACTGAAATAATTATTTATTCCTCCTGAAACGTGATGACTTTAGAAGCAAATGTCTCATGTATGTGTATGTATATATGTACTGTATGTGTATGTAGTGTATGTATGTATATGTATGTACAGTATGTATGTATACTCACCGGCCACTTTATTAGGAACACCTGTTCCATTGCATGGTAACACAAAATGCTAATCAGCCAATCACGTGGCAGCAACTCAATGCATTTAGGCATCTAGATGTGGTGAAGACGACTTGCTGAAGTTCAAACCGAGCATCAGAATGGGGAAGAAAGGGGATTTAAGTGACTGAACATGTCGTGGTTGTTGGTGCCAGACTGGCTGGTCTGAGTATTTCAGAAACTGATGATCTTCTGGGATTTTAACGCACAACCATCTCTCGGGTTTACAGAGAATGGTCCGAAAAAGAGGAAATATCCAGTGAGCGGCAGTTGTGTGGCCGAAAATGCCGTGTTGATGTCAGAGGTCAGAAGAGAATGAGCAGACTGGTTCAAGGTGATCAAAAGGCCATAGTAACTCAAATAGCCCCTCGTTACATCCGAGGTATGCAGAATACCATCTCTGAACGCACAACACGTGGAACCTTGAATCAGATGGGCTTCAGCCACAGAAGACCACACCGGGTGCCACTCCTGTCAGCTAAGAACAGGAAACGGTGGCTACAATTCGCACAGGCTCACCAAAATTGGACAATAGAAGACTGGGAAAACGTTGCCTGGTCTGATGAGTCTCAATTTCAGCTGCGACATTCAGATGGTCGGGGTCAGAATTTGGCGTAAACAACATGAAAGCATGGATCCATCCTGCTTTGTATCAACGGTTCAGGCTGGTGGTGGTGTAATGGTGTGGGGGAAAATTTCTTGACACACAGGTAGAGACGGCCCTGCAAGGGGGTACACTGTGGGTACCAGAGATCGAGATGTGCCCCTCTTTTTCCTGTTTCTCATTTTACATATTTTACATATTGAGGATAAGATGATTCTTTGCTATAGGAGCTGGGAGTCTGCCTACAGGGCCCCTGAAACCCCCGAAAGGGTTAAATAGGCTAATTACAAGACTGAAGATATGTGTGATACTTATTGCACTTAATATATAGTGAAATATCTCTATGATCCAATTATTTATAATCCTTTCTAGGGGTACCAACAAATCTGTCCAGGCCATTGTAGAATATCTTTGTAGAATAAGTAACAATTTCTCTCTTTGCGCACTTTCTTTGCTTTACTCTGACATGCTAAAAACATGCAGGGATACATACATATGCACTCACCGGCCACTGTATTAGGTACACCTTGCTAGTAACGGGTTGCACCCCCTTTTGCCTTAATACTTCGTGGCATAGAGTCAACAAGGTGCTGGAAACATTCCTCAGTCAGGAGAAGGTGTCCGAGCTGTCAGCCGAGCCTGGCAGGAGGCGGTGGGGTTGCCTAGCTGTCAACTGGCAGAGCAAGAGGTGGCAGGCAGCCAAGGGTGGGCTGTAAGTCGCTCATGCTGCTGCCCCCCAATTGCCTTAGGCTGCCTCATTATGGTGTCTGCCTCCTTGTTTAGGGCTCCTGTACTGTAATTCAGTTTGTGTAATCTGTAATTCAGCCCGTAAACACATGAAAAGCATACAAAAAAGTAAAATATATAGATTGATTTTTTTATTGTCATGATATTTTTGGCTTTGTGCTCACATATCCCTTATTAAAAAACATAATTTGGACAGGAAATGATGTCACTTCCTATTTACCACACCATTCTATTTACAGATCTTTAATGTTTCAGTTTTCTGGTCACCGTCTTCCTGTTCGGTCTTCTGTATTGTCTCTTTAATCCACGGCAGATAATTCTTCACTTTGGTGTACATTCCGAAATCACCACATTTAATGCCCCAGGAGACAACGCCGCCAATATACAATCTGTCGTCCTTAACCTCATCTGAAACATATCTGAACATGAGCGGACCGCCGCTGTCGCCTTGACAGCTGTCCTTACCATCTCCACCGGCACACATCATGTTTTCGGTAAAGACTTGGTCGGTGTTTACCGACTTCTTGCACTCTTCGGTTTTGCGGACAGGAACAAGGGCGTACCGCAGTTTTCTGGTTCTTAGTCTGTTGAAGTAATCGCTTGTCTTTCCCCAGCCCGCCACATACCCGACTTCATTGACAGCAGGGGAAGAATCCTCCATATTTTCTGGCAGACATACTGGACAGATACAGGGGCCCATTTCAACTTTACGGCTCAGCTGGACGAGGGCGATGTCGTTGTCATAATTCTTTCTGACTGCACTGTCTTGTATAATCCAGTCGGGGTGGAGAATGACCTTCTTGGCCTCAAGTTCAATTGCTATACGATGGGTGACATCACCGGCAAATAGTTTGGGTTGGGGAATGTCTTGGACCACGTGGGCAGCTGTGAGGACCCATTGATCAGATATGAGTGATCCCCCTCCTATGTTTTCTGAGGCTAAATGTACGACCCACGGGAAGTACCCGCTCTGTGCCTCAGAACCGCCATATATTCTGGAATGAAGCTCCAAGGTGGTTTTGCCACAGACTGCAAATAAAAAGCAGGTAGATATTAAGGAACTCTTAATCAAATGTAAAAAAAAAACAACAATTAAAAATCCACACTCCAAACATAGATAAAATTCAAACATTGCTCAACCTAAAACTACATATACATGCAAAATGACTGCAGCTATTCAATACAACCCAATGCACAGGTAATAGTGGTGTGGTTAACAACGTAGTAAAACAATAAACACACATAGGAAACATTTTATGCACTACAATCTGTGAGCTGATGCAAATATAACTGTGAAGAACAAAGTTCACGGTGTTCTGTCGAGAATGCCGACCGGTCGAATTTGCCGACCTCACCATCTGCGCTTGCGCACAGATGGCATTAACGAGGAAACAGGGATTTATTTACAAAGTATTAACATCAAATTGTTAATTGTGACCGTTGATAATATGCCATCCATGGCAGTAAATGGTGGATGGTATTTTATGCATGTTTACAATTAATATCGTAAGCAATTACATAATGATGTAATTGCTTACGATGTTAATTGTGAATGTGCATAAAATACCATCCACCATTTACTGCCATGGATGGTATATTATTAATGGCCGCAATTAACAATGATAAATGAATACTTTGTAAATAAATCCCTGTTTTCTCGCTAATGACGTCTGTGTCCAAGCGCAGATGGTGAGGTTGGCAAATTCGACTGGGTCGGCGTTCTCGACAGAACAACAGTCTTGAAGAAGCCGCCTTTAAGGGCGTGGCCTAATTATGTCATCACGCTGATGCTGCTTATGCCGGTCTGATCACCCAGGATGGGAAGCATGTGGCTGTTCATACATTGTCTGTGAATTTCTCTTATGCTGCATCCATAATGCTTTGTGCACTAAATAGAAGTATTTTTAGGGTTTAGAATATATTTTAAAAGTGATATTAAAGTCAAAAAGGATTTTAAGCTATTTAACATGCTGATGAGATCACTTACAAAGGGTTCTGCTGCTTGATGTATAAAAGTTTTAGCTTCCTGCAGAATCAGCTGGTCCCCTGAGCACTGGTCCTGACTTCCTGTTTTACAGTGACTCCTTCCACAAGCAGAGTGCTATGCAGTCACCCGTGTGTGTCCTAGTAAGCTGTGTGTGTCTCCACAAACACACTATTGGATCTGAAGTGGCGCCACCTGCAGTCAATACAGCACCCACCACAAGGGACATACCAGTAAGGAGTGCGGTAGGACTTTTCTGCATTTCACAGAAAAGTCCACGGCCCCCTCTCCTCCCTTCTCCACGCTAGCAGATGCACAGTTGCTGGAGTCTGCACTGTCCTTTGTGTTCTTGTACTGGACAGAAAGTTCAGGGAAGCTAAGCTGAAAGACTTGGGAGCAGCTGTTCAGAAACATGATGATTGTAAGTGTTTGAGCAAAAATGTAAAGCAATGTTTTGCTGGGCGATGTATTTATGTTTTGTCTGGATTAATTATCGAAAAAATGTTTAAAGCAACATTAAACTCTCAACTTTTTTTGAATAATTAATTCAGATGAAACGAGGGAACCTCATAAATACGTTTGCTGTTATTACCTTTAGATCCATGGTTCTCATCATGTGTAACCTCAGGACCCACATTTGTCCTTGTTCATTAAGTCGCGACCCAAGTCGCACTGTGTTCGGACTTTGGGTGGGAGGTGCGTTTGGGATACCATTCAAATGAATGGCAACATAACACAGCAACCACACCCTCGCAGCCACAGCCGCAGCCCACTCCGCCTCAAGCTAGCACTCGGTGCCGGGCAGCATATTTTGGCGTGAGAACTGACAGTGGTGCAAAAGGTGGTGGCTGAGAAGCCTTTCACCTAGAAAAGTGGAAGACACGCTGTGACCCACTGAACATGGGGTCGCGACCCACTTTTGGGTCACGACCCACCAGCTGAGAACCAAGGCTTTAGATGACAATCCCCACCATGCATATATTTATACAGAATTCCAATTACATAAAACCATATACACATATATACATTCACCTGTTTTACACTTGGGGAGATCACTTTGTCCTTTGCTGTTTACCCAAAGTCCATTCAAAGAGCAGTGATAGGTTTCTGCAAAGAAGAAAAAACCGCGATGTATGATGAAAGACTAAAGAGAACCTGTCCCCTAAACACTTTACATATTGCCTGGTGCAGGGCAAGCAACCTATAATACTCTTGCCGGATAGAAGAAGAGAAAAGTAAGTTGAGTGATTCCATAATGAACATTGGACCAATCAATATTTGGCATAGCCGGGAAACTACCGTTAAAGCCAACAGAACGCTGTATGGGGTGCAGTCTTGGACTTGATCATTCGAAAACACTACAAGACTTCTATGGGCCCATCAATGCCCGTTGATGTACTCAAAAACTGACAACCATTTTTGCTAAAGTGATTAGAGTGTTCTTGGTTGTGGTTGGGGGCTCAGTCATCACCACTGTCACCCAAACACAAACTGACCTCACATTTTACCGTATGAGTTGTGAATTATTCCAGCACTTACCTTCTCCGGACAGCGTATAATATTCTGACTTGCAGCTGTACGTGGCTTGTGCTTTATAGGTGGTTGAGTCAAACGTCACATTGCCATAGTCAGCTTCCTCAGGTTCCCCACAGTCCACAGCTGGAGAAGAGACAGACCACAAATGAGAAATATTATATCCTATCTTCTCCAAAAGGTTGAGGTTGGTCAGGTCCGGGCTTGTTGTGTCTCTTTTTTCTTGACGGGGTAAACATATTTATTGTCCAAATATTCATGTCAAAGACTCTGTCCTATCAGCCTGTTTTTTGTTAGCACGTGAGCAACGCAGCACAAATAAATGGCTCCTCGTGCTGCTTCTGCCTCTCCTTGTCTAAGCTCTGTTGTATAGTGGATTGCAAAAGGCTCTGATACTAAACTTGCCACACACCTATAGATTATCTGCAGATTTTCTATGGTCAGATGGAAAAAGTGCAACAGATTCCTCCATCCATGCTAAACTGTGTGGATGGAGGAATCTCCACGCTGGGCTATCTTGCTGGTCGGCCCCGCTGGCTGTCAAAATACCTGAACAATCTGATTGGATGCAGGCCGTGTTCAGGTAATTTGCGAGCCAGCGACCATAGAAAATCTGTAGATAAGCTGGCCATACACCTATAGGTTAAGTAAAACTCAGGCACTTACCCTGCTTGCATTAAAAACATTAATTTAATGAATATGTTGTACCATTAATTTGTGTATTTTATATCTGTCTGGAGTTCAGTTTTAAAGATCAAGCAAAGTGCAAGGTATTGGGCAAAAGGTGATCGAATCACCAGTTTACCCTCTTGCTTGATGCTTAAAAAATCTAATAATTGTATTTATATTACTTATTGATTTTATTTGCAAAAATATAAATACATACACATTTCCATCTTTAAAAATATCCCCCCCAACCCTGTAAAGACATTGAATCATCTTAAGCGCCTTCACCCTACTATATGGTGAATAGGATATTTCTCCAAATACTGTTATTCCAATGAACCTTTGCACGCATAGACCCCCCGAAAAAAACCTAAATTATACAGTGGGATAAATGCCTCTGTGTGTCTGTGGCCCTTGGAGAGCCCCTTTCAGCCACTTGCCCAATATCACTTTTAAGACTAGCAAAATTGAAAGTACTATTAGATTTAATAGGAACCTTGAATTAAGTCCAGGAAGACATTTTTTTTAAAGGAGAGCATCAGTTTTATTCAGTCAGGTTCTCAAGTCACCTCTAAGAATTTATAGTGGGGAAGGGTTAAGACCCCTGGATCCTCAAAATCGAAGGAGATTCCATTTGCAAATATTGACTTCAGCCCTCTGCTGTGCCTTTCTATTGGCATATTATTGTAATAGGCACATTTATTAAAGGCTAACAGGGTTATTCACAAAAGAGTGAAGAGTTTGGAGAAGGCCGGAGAAGTGAACAATCTAGGCCAATATAGCTGAACTGCAAAAAAGTATTCAACTTGGCTCACTTTTCAGTTCAGCTATGTTGTCTTAGATTGTTCACTTCTCCGGCCTGATTGGGGTTGTGATGCTTTACTAGCTCCAATGCAAAAAGAAAAGATAAATGCACTTTTTTTTTAATGAATATGTGTGCATTTTTTTCTTTTTTTTGGTGGTCTTTGCCTTTAAATAACAAAGAGGTGCAAGGCCAAGCTCCAATGTCCTAGTTGAAATTGCATATAAGAACAGCCTTTCTCAACCAGTGTGCCGTGGCACCCTGGGGTGCATTCTAGCTTCGGCAGGGGTGCCTCAAAATGTTCATACAACATCATGCCTTTAATAATACTAATCCATGGAGATGATGGATTCCATTCAAGAGATGGATTCATTGCGTGGGGTTTCCCTTTTAAAATCCATACCAGACCCCTGTTTGGGACAAGGGTCTGGTATGGATTTTGCAGGGACCACAAATCACTTATTACATTAATTTTTTATAAAATTTTTGACTGGGGTGCCGTGGGATTTTGCATACTTTTAAATAGGGATGTTCAGATACCAAGTACCGTACTCGGTACAAGTACAAGTACAGATACTTTTCCAGCTCCAAGACTAGACTACAGAAAAATTCAAAAGTTAGAAGGCAGCTGTCATTTGTAAGGAGCACATGGAGCTCCCGGGATTTGTACATCTCTGTTTTAATGTATGATTTTGTTTTTATAAATATATATTAGGGATGCACCGATACAATTTTTGCAAGTACAAGTACTGATACTCGTCCAAGTACTCACAGATACAAGTACTGATACATTTTTGTTTATTGTCATGTGACAGTTTTTCTAAAACAATGCAGACTAATGATTTCAGGACAGTGGTGGAGCGCCAGAGCCAGGTCCCAGCTGCAACCACCACTACCAACTTGGTAGTTCTCATGAAAATGCCAAGTATCGGCACTGGTATCTGAACATCTCTACTTTTAAAGGGTGGTGTGACTGACAAAAGATTGAGAAACGCTGTATTAGAGCATCTCTAGTTCCAGGAAAATATTATCAGGCACCTCTGATTTCAGTTCACTTAAAATAGTGAGTACTTACGCTGGCATTTCAGGTGGGAGTTGCTCCAGGTTCCATCTGCTTGGCAATTAGCCTGGAAAGATGGCATTTTTTTCTAAAAACAGGAGAGAGAACAGGATTCATGGTAGGAAAATATATTTAGCTTTATTGTCTGCGCACCCGTTCTGTAATGGCCACTTACATTTCCTTTTACAATCTCATATCCTTCCTTGCAGCTGACAGTCACCATGTCCTTAAATACATATTTGTCACTGTGGGGATCCAGCATAGAATTCTCCGCTACCTTACTGGGGCAAGGAATAGCTGTGGAGTAAAGAGAATAAATAGATAATTATATACCTTGTATTATTGTACATTATTATGTTCATTAACACACCTCCCTCTCCCTCTGGACCTAACATTAAATTACACTGTACATGGATGCCTGCATGCTAAGCAATATATTTACATACAATTAGTAATAATCGGTCTCCATTTATAGTGACAAATTTCTGAATATTGAATACTGAATCACCAAGCAAAGGGCATTCCATAAACAGGCATAGGTTGGCCCTGTGGTATTCTGATAGAGTCACAACATAATCACAAGGTCAATAGAGTCCCAACATAACAGGAAGGTCAATGGAGTCCCAACACAACCAGAAGATCAACAGAGTACCAACACAACCATGAGATCAATAGAGTCCCAACACAACCAGAAGGGCAATGGAGTCCCAATACAATCAGAGGATCAAAAGAATCCTAAAACAACCAGGAAGATCAACAGAGTCCCAAAACCACCAAAAGGTCAATAGAGTCCCAACGCAACCGGATGCTCCATAGAGTCAAAACATAACCAGAAGATCAAAAGAGTGCCAATACAACTACGGTAGAAGGTCACTAGAGTCCCAACACAACCAGAAAGCCAATGGAGTTTCAACACAACCAGAAGGTCCATAGAGTCCCAACATAAATAGAGGGTCCATAGAGACCCAATGTAACCAGAAGTGCAATAGAGTCCCAACATAACCAGAAGGGCATTAGAGTCCCAATACAAACAGAAGATCAAAATAGTCACAAAACAACGAAAAGATTAATAGAACCCCAATACAACCAGAAAGACAAAGGAGTCAGAAGATCAACAAACTATCAAACAACAAAAAAAGTCAATAGAGCCCCAATACAACCAGAAGGTCAATAGACTCCCCAAACAACCAGAAGGTCAAGGACTGGCTAGAAGCTAAGCAGGGCATTAACCACAGTGCAACATACATGGCCCCTGTTTTCGTGAGAGCTGCTTTAGATGAAAATTAATCCCTTTTGGGGAGATTTGTTTTTACTTCCTGTGGTGTCTACTTGAAAAAGAAAAACATGACAGGGTTTTAACTATTAAATAATTTATCCTAAACTAAAAAAAGTTTTGAATTTAGACATACTGTCACTTTGCCCTTTGCATTTTGCCCCTCCTAACCCCATTGATACTCATCTCTCCAGTGATTGCCTGCTGCTCTTTCCTCCACAACTGAGCAATGAGGAGATTTGCTCAGTTGAGGAGCATGCGTCTTGCTTTTACTGTATATGATGCAGTGCTCAAGACTAGTGACCAGGTGTTAGACCTGAGCACTGTCACATGACAGAGGAGATAATGTCACCGTTCCCTCTAGCCTCTGACGCACCAGGTATTTACACAGACTGTGAATGGGCATAGTGACAAGGCCTCCCTTCAGTCATAAAAAGTAACACCCTCATCTCAATCTCCAACTGAAAAAGAATGGTACAATGTACAGGCCCATAGGACATGATAACCCCATATAAACCATAAATAATAATATTAAGGCAACCACATAAGATTGTTAGCTGTAATATGAATGGTTAATATGGACAACACAGACAATGTCTTCTGCATTAGTTCCTGTACATTAGTTCCCTTTGAATCTCTGTACTAGTTTGATATTGACTCGCCTTCTTCTGAGTAGCGTAACTTCCAGCCTTTGTTGTCCCCACCGCTGTCTGTTCGGAAAATGATATCCACTTCATTGCTTGCCGTCTCAATGCGGGGTGGGGGCGTTTTCCCACAGTAGGGACCAAACTTGCGGCCTTTGGCTTTTATCTGAAAGGGGAATTATACATACACTCCAATCAAACATTAACATTTTAAGTGTCAATTTAGCCATAGGGCATAGCCTGCTTGCCAAGTGGCAGTCTACATCTGGATGCCCTATTTGGTAACCTCCTAAGACTGGCAGTATTCGTATTTTCTGATTTTCCCTGAGCTTGAGGTTTGAGAAAATGCAGGTCAAGTGTTCCATGATTCCAGCAGCAACCTCCCTCCAAGGCTCACCAAGAAGAAGTTGCAGAATGCAGACAGGAGGTAGCAAGGGCCATGGTAGAAGCATGAAACTAGTAGAAAAAGTTATTTTCTAATGGACTTTTATGATGTCTTTGTTATATTGTGCACAAGAAGGGGTTAGTGGAATTGGTCTTTGATGGGCAGAAGTGAGTTTTCCTAGGGTGGCTGCTTTTGCAGGACGAATGTCCTAGGTAGGACTGACATGCAAAGCTGAGCCTCCATGATTTAAAGGAGCAGAATCCAATGAATGAAATGGGCAGGTCAGAGACAGTCAGACTGAGATAGAAAGTGCTAGCTGATGCGCGATGTCTTCCAGCCAGGAAATGAAGTGGGCTCTATGTGACTTGCTGCAGCTTCTGTGAGAAGCTCACAGTGTTCAGGGAAATCAGAGGAAGCAATTTCAGTCCAGGAGAGGAGCCGGTACAACTGTGCAAGACTGAAGGGAATTCAACTTCAAGGTGCTTTTTCATGATCAAATGATACTCACAGTCAAAGTGTCATAGGAACAGCTCCGGTCATTTGCCTCCTCGATATCGAAGTCCGTTGGCTGAAAGGTGATTATGACCTGGTACCCAGACTCCAGCAGCACTTTATATTCACAGAGAGAGTTCTCAGGGTATGGTGAGGGGTATCCAGGGCTGCTAATCTGACCTTTGAGTTCTGTATACATACCCCCGCTACAGTTCACTGCAAAATATAAAGACATATTTAGCTTGCATTACACATTAATCAGTATTTTTCATTCTCTTATTCCTGTATCTATCACCAACATATTCCACAGGACCACAAATCACATGGACCAATCAGGTAGGTCCCCGTCCTCCAGGAGCCAACACAGGTGACAGTGTAGCTTATTTGTTAGCATGTTGGCCTTAGCTTCAGCTTTCACCAGAGGAACTATATGAATGGAATGTTTCTATTTTTCTTATGTTTGTATGAGTTGGTTTTAGGTCCACTCTACAAACTAAGAATATATTGACAGGTTATTTAGAGCGCAATTGAATTTTTAGTTGTAATTAGCTGAAAACATTTCTGGTGCATCAAAACAAAAGGTGTGCAAAGTCTTACAGTTTGTTTTCTTTCTTAATTAGCCACATTCTGAGTAGAGAAGCCTGTGCCCTGCCAGCTTGCTGCACAGCGGGAACCTTGCTCCCTTTGGGTAAGCAGTGACATCTATGTGAAGGTGCCCATGCACGTGCCGATTATAGTACGATAATCGCGGGTGATGATAATCGGCAGGTGTATGGAAGGCGTGCAACCGTTTCTACTGCACGGTCGCACGTCTTTTGTCTCCCGAGCACGATTGAAAACCCGCCGAGAATCGTGCGATTTTCGGCAGGTTAGTGGCGTTCTCTGGAGACAAATGCCGCATGGGCCGGTGTGCCCAAGCGCACACTGCCCGCTCAGCATTGGAATCATCGGAAGTACGATCTGCCTGTCCAGGATGGGCAGATCGTACAAGCTTTTAATTACCTTACAACCATCGCAGGATGAAAGTCGTGTGATGGTTGTAAGGTGTATGGCCAGCTTAAAGGTCCAACAAGCCCCCAGGTGAGTCAGAGCTCTCCAATCAGCAGGGAGCATAAGCTTCTTCCAGCACTGTAAGGAAACGGCACTAACTGCTAGTTCACCAGGATATGTGAGGGAAAATGTCTGTGCTGTCCCAAGCATCCAATCAGAATCTCTGCTTCTTTATCCTCCTAAATAAGAAAATGAAAGAAAGAATCCCATTGCGTACTATGGGAACACAGACACTCGATCATGTACCTTTCAGATACGTTGATAAATGAAGATAAATATTGGGTTAAAAAGCCACCCGATGCCATGTAGAGGGCATGTCAGAACACTGTGTCTGGGATTTGGGATTACGGAACGAAACACATTTTATAATGGAGATACAGTGCGGTTAGTCTCACGTGGCAATTCTTACCCCTGATGAAGAGTTGGCACAGATAGACAGTCAAGTTGTTACATGCCCGCTATTTGGCTTTGGATGGCTTTTTAATCTTGTTTAAATAAAAGTAACATTCTATCCAGAGATCATGGAGACAAGATGAAAACAAAGTCAGCTTCCGATCTACCTTCCTTTATTGGTCTAAGGAGAACCTGTCATGGTAGATTCATGGCCATTTGGTACATTTCTTATGCCTTTGCATTCGCGTCACTTTGCCTGATTTGCGCGGTACTGAAATGTTGGAATAGTTATGCTGCAAAAACGTCAATAAAGACGAGATTCTGAAGCTTAAGGTGTGCGCACAACATATCATTTATTAGTTTGATGTGGCGCCATCCACCGGTTGTTACAGTACCCCACTAACAAGGGGGTACATTGGTATGGTGTGCAAAGGAGATATAACCAATGTTGGATCTTGAAACATGGTGTCACACATAAAATAGCTGGCAAGTGTCTGTGTCACCCATAGCATCCAATCAAATACTTCCATTCTGTCGTGTCTATGTGAGCATTCCATGTGTGTGTAACAATATGGTAGCATAGAAACCTTTAATAGAGGAGAAAGTGGACATTTATTGCTCCAAACCAAGAAGCTTTATGCAGGGCTGTATTTGTCCATCAAGATGTCCAGGTACACCTGATGATGCCCTATTGTACAAACCCCTCCCCTTGTGTCATGTGACTATTTTCAAAAAAATTAATGCTAGAAGCTGCTATTGGAGGAAACAGCTGCTGCAAATGATTAGGATGGGGGAGGGGGGGCGGTAAGCAGGGGCGCCCCTAGCATTTTTGCCACCCCACCTGAGGTGGGGGTGCTGGTGATGCATGTGCTACCAGGGGGGGGGGGATTTGGATGGGAGAGGGGTTGCAGGGTCTGGCCTCTGAATCATCTGGCTCAGCTCTGGCTGGCATCCCAGAGCGTCCCGCTTAGTTTCTTGCAACCAGCATCTTGCTCAGCTCGTGGTAACCATAGCGAACATTAAAAAAAAAAATTAAAATACATTTCACATTCATTTTTGGTTTCTTAAAAATCCTACTTAGCAGTTCCATTCTATGTAATGTCAAGGGGAGCGGAGGGGGCCTGGGAGGTATGTTTGCCATAAATAAGCCTATCTGTACTGTGCCGTCAGATCTTCATTATCTGTGTAGACCAGATTACTGTCCTAACAGAGGGTTAGAGATCTCAAGGCTTGGGTGGTACATTGTATGTATTTACGCCTATAGAGTCCTAGGTATAAATCTAGAAAGGTAAGAAATATCTGTTTTTAATTCTTTTTACATACACTGTCTGACAATAACATATAACAGACATAACACTGTGTGGGGGGTTTCTTAAATGAAATTGCAAAAGTAGACATATACTTAAAAGTGTCTTTTCCCCATTAAAAAATGAGCTGATGTGTATAAAACACATTCACCTAGAGGCCTTGCATGATCAAACCAGCCTAGGATTAAACCTTAGTGGTAGGGACTGCAGGCACGAACTAGTATAACTGCCTAAATTCTATGTTTGTATTATCTCATTGCATTCTTTAGCACAGAAGTAATCAGAATGAGAGTGAAAGGTTCAGAACTGTGAGCCAATCAGGGTCTTCTTCTTGGGTTATACAGTTTTGCCATTTTTACATGTTCCAGGCACTGGAGGCTGAAGGAAAACGTTTATTTAGATTACAGGAAGAGGGGAAAACAGGGAGGAACTCATGATCGGAGGAAGCTCTGGGAGGGTCCTCCTCAGCTCTTATGAGGGCCCACCACTATCACCACACCTTCAGCTTTGGACTTCCCCAACTCCAAGACTGAAGCAGTCACAAAGTAGAATACTGAACCTGCTGCCGGGGGTCCCTGTTTTCTTTATATGCATTTCGCTGATCCCCAGAATCCTCCTGAAGCCTCCCCACTGCTGCGGTGTGCAGCGCTCTTCTAATCATAACTTCAGCTCCGAAATTTGCGAACTTCTTTGCATGTGATAGGCAGGGCCGGATTTCCCACAAGGCCAACCGAGGCCTGGCCTTGGGGCAGCAGGGAGTAGAGGAGAAGCAGGGGTGTGGAATTCCTATCTCCCAATGGCCGGGACATGCAGTTATGGGCGCCAGGCGGGTAATTGTTTTCTACATTTAGCTCGGCTTTGGGCAAGCAGAGATAAATGTACAGCGGGGAAGCCACCCCTTGTTTTGTACAAGTGATCCCGGTGATGTTGCCGAGATCACTTGTATGCAGCCTCCAAACAGGGGTGCGCATTGAGGAACCTGGCATTTGGGGCAGTAGAGAGAGTAAATCCGACCCTGGTGATAGTGACTGGTTAATGCCAGCTTTTGATTTGTCTATACCGGATGCCAATCAAAAGCTGGATTTGACAGTCACTGCTTCTCAGAAGTGTGGAAGGGATGCGAGTATCCATCTGCCTAGCGGGAGTTCCAGAGTCCTTACCTCCACAGGTGTGCTGGTCTTCATGCAGGTCATATTCCGGTGGGCAGGAGCAAAAGAATCCTCCAATGTAATTGTTGCAGAAATGTGAACAGGGATTCATGGAGTTGTCGTCACACTCATCAATGTCTGGGAACAAAAGACAAGGAGAATAAAGATACCACAAAAGAAACATACTGGGAGTCACCAACGCTTCTATCACCCCAAGAACAGCAGGAGGTCTGAGTGGATCTGCTGTGGTTCTCCCACTGCAATGTACATGTGGTGCTTTGACCTTCCCTGCTCTCTATAGTAAAGGAAGGGAGAAAGCCACACTCAAGATGCTCTTCCTACTAGGTCAAATACAACCTGATTGTCATCAACAATGCTCGACACTGGGTACATCAGGTCATGTACGTTTTTGGCATCAGCCAAAAGGGAGTTGAAATGTTCCCTTTTTCTAAGTGTTAACGTGTCCCTAACACTAAAACCAAACCCGAACTCTTACCCAAACTTTCCCTAAGTCACCCATTAACTGCTAGAAATGAAAATCACCCCATGGCCATGATATTCAATTCATGATGGAGCGGGTTGGAAGAATGAACCATATGACATGGCAGATAACGCAGGCATCCACCACTCCTGGATGTGTTGAATGTGGAAGAGTCTAAAGGAGGCTACAGGACTTGACCGGAGACCCAGAGGAGGGGAGTATAATAGCTCTTCTGTAGCAGAGGAGGGCCGGTCAGATTTTTTTAGGCAACTGACAGAGTCTCATTAATACCATATAGTATATGCCAGTCTTATGTTTATATAAAATTCCTGTTTAGATAAATATATAAAGCACAGCCAATATACATATTTTGCTCACAAATTATGTTTACTACTCTTTATTTTCAGATCTGAAAACATTGTATTATAAATTATATAAACAAAACACAGATAAACAAATGTGGCAGTGGTTGTTAAAGCGATTCCTTAAGTATGTAAGCTTTGTCATATCATACAGCAGCTAAAAAAAATCCCAGTGAGACTTGACTTTTTGGTATGTTGTATTTAACCTTGTAAGAGGTTGAAGTCAGCAGGGCAGCTCACAATTCTAGACAGTCCCATGCAGGAAGTCTCTGATGGGCATGTAAAGGAAGGTGTCCCTGGTTGCATAGCAGTAAGTCATGGAGACTTCTGAAACAGCTGTGGTAGGGGTCATTAAGACTTCTGAAGCAAGAGTGGTAAGGGTCATGGATACTTCTGAAGCAGGAGTGGTAGGGGTCATGGAGACTTCTGAAACAGCTGTGGTAGGGGTCATTAAGACTTCTGAAGCAGGAGTGGTAGGGGTCATGGAGACTTCTGAAGCAGGAGTGGTAGGGGTCATGGAGACTTCTGAAGCAGGAGTGGTAGGGGTCATGGAGACTTCTGAAGCAGGAGTGGTAGTGGTCATGGAGACTTCTGAAGCAGGAGTGGTAGGGGTCATGGAGACTTCTGAAGCAGGAGTGGTAGGGGTCATGGAGACTTCTGAAGCAGGAGTTGGAGGGGTCATTGAGACTTTTGAAACAGGAGTGGTAGGGTAGGGGTCATGAAGACTTTTGGAGCAGGTTTGGTAGGGGTAAGAATTACTTCTGTAGTAGGAGTGGTAGACGTCATGGAGACTTTTGAAGCTGGGGTGGAAGGGGTCATGGAGACTTCTGAAGCAGGAGTGGTAGGGTCATGGAGACTTCTGAAGCAGGAGTGGTAGCGGTCATGGAGACTTCTGAAGGAGGAGTGGTAAGGGTCATGGAGACTTCTGAAGCAGGAGTGGTAGGGGTCATGGAGACTTCTGAAGCAGGAGTGGTAGGGGTCATGGAGACTTTTGAAGCAGGGGTGGTAGGGGTCATGGAGACTTCTGAGACAGGAAGGCAGGAATGGTAGGGGGTCATGGAGACTTATGAAACAGGAGTGGTAGCAGTCATAAAATTTTTTGAAGCAGGTGTGGTAGGGGTAAGACTTACTTCTGTAGTAGGAGTGGTAGGGGTCATGGAGACTTCTGAAGCAGGGATGGTAGGGGTCAGTGTTGCCTAGCTTTAAAAAGAGGAAGCCCCAAGAGTTAGGGACATGCATACTGGTCAAAGCTGCAAAAAGTTAGGTAAGTGTTTAGGGTATGGTCCTTAATCCTTCTGGAACCACTGCAGTGTTTTAGCCATGCCATGACGTCTACCCTGAGAAGCATAATGCTCAGTTCAGATCAAGTGATGGGAAGTCACAACAGCCTAGGGGTCAGGAATTCTAAGGCAACACAACTCCAGCATGTGGGATGAAAATCTTGCAAAGTCTCATGGGACTTGTAGTTCCAAAACAGCTGGAGTGTTGGCCCAAAATTATTCTTCCATAGTGGCCCTTTGGTGACCTGGTTGAACACAGGTGAGACATAGACGTGTTACACACATACCTACTGCTATGTAGTAGGCTGAAAATCCTGTGTGTCTCTCTTGGTTGGAGAAGTCAGAGGTGAATAGCAGTTTTAGTTTGTTGGTGGGGTAATATCTCTCTTTTATGGGGAGTCCTGTGGCTCCATCCAAACTACGTCCGCACAGCGTGTCCTGAACAGCATCTCCAATTATTACCTAGAGCAGAAAGAGACCCATTACATCGGTATCAGTGGTACAATTATAACTAAACAAACCCCTCAGAATTACTTATTTTATAAAGATAACACATCCACAGAGATAAGGGGAACTTACAAACAGACAGACAGACAGAGATAGGGGAACATCCACAGAGATAAGGGGAACATCCACATACAGAGATAAGGGGAACATCAACAGACACAGATAAGGGCAACATCCACAGACAGAGATAAGGGCAACATTCACAGACAGAGATAAGGGAACATCCACAGAGATAGGGGGAACATCCACAGACAGAGATAAGGGGAACATCCACAGACAGAGATATGGAGGGACATCCACAGACAGAGATAAGGGGAACATTCACATACAGAGATAAGGGAACATCCACAGACAGAGATAAGGGGGACATCCACAGACAGAGATAGGGGAACATCCACAGAGATAGGGGAACATCCACAGAGATAGGGGAACATCCACAGACAGAGATGGAGGGACATCCACAGACAGAGATATGAGGGGAACATCCACAGACAGAGATAAGGGGGACATCCACAGACAGAGATAAGAGGAGCATACCCCAGACAGAGATATGGGGGGACATCCACAGACAGAGATATGGGGGGGGGCACCCACAGACAAAGATAAGGGGGGACATTCACAGACAGAGATAGGAGGGACATCCACAGACGGAGATAAGGGGACATCCACAGACAGAGATAAGGGGGACATCCACAGACAGTGATAAGAGGAGCATCCCCAGACAGAGATATGGGGGCATCCACAGACAGAGATAGGAGGGACATCCACAGACAGATATAAGGGGACATCCACATACAGAGATAAGGGGGGACATCCACAGACAGAGATAAGGGGAACATCCACAGACAGAGATAAGGGGACATCCACAGACAGAGATGGGGGAACATCCACAGCTAGATATAAGGGGGGGCATCCACAGACAGAGATATGGGGGGACATCCACAGACAAAGATAAGGGGGGACATTCACAGACAGAGATAGGAGGGACATCCACAGACGGAGATAAGGGGACATCCACAGACAGAGATAAGGGGACATCCACAGACAGAGATGGGGGAACATCCACAGCTAGATATAAGGGGGGGCATCCACAGACAGAGATAAGGGGGGCATCCACAGACAGAGACAAGAGGAGCATCCCCAGACAGAGATATGGGGGGACATCCACAGACAGAGATGGGGGAACATCCACAGCTAGATATAAGGGGGGGCATCCACAGACAGAGATAAGGGGGGCATCCACAGACAGAGACTGCATCCACAGACAGAGATATGGGGGGGGCATCCACAGACAGAGATATGGGGGGGGCATCCACAGACAGATAAGGGGAACATCCAGAGACAGAAATTCTGTGTACACCAAATACCATAGGGCAAGGATAAGCAACCTCGGCACAGTTGAAGAAGACATATCTGGAGTTCTACTTTAAGGATAACAGTGAACATCTTTCTGTTTTCCTGGACAGCCCGAGCAGCGTGCAGATCTATTTTACTTCCTGTCTGGAGTTCCCCTTTAAATGTATTAGCTTCTACATGGCTTGGAGCAACTGCAGTTCCAGGCTCACCTTCAGGAAGTCATACTCGCACCCGTTGGAGGGCTCGATGTCCAGGTGAATGAAGTACAATTGGATGCCGTGGCCCTCGGGCACCTGCACATCCCAGGATTCCTTGGCATTATCGGGGTAACCTTGTGGGTAGTTGGGGGATGTGATCTCCCCAAACATAGGGGCTGACTCCGCACTGACGTACCCCAGGAGGGCGAGCAGCAGCCACCTGATAAAGGAAAGAAAAAAAGTGTCTTAAAGCTGAACTCCAGGCAGATTTAACCCTTTCGCTGCCAGTGCATTTTCTTGCCCTCATTACAATGCACATAGGTGGCTCACAAGCCTCCTATGTGATAGCATTTTAGTGGTGACAGGTTCTCTTTAAGGAGACATCAGGGGTCTATTAGCTCTCCCCCCTAGGCTGTACAGTATGGTCGGATCCCTGCGCCTGGGAGCCAAAGGTGTGTATCTGTACAGGTACGGATGTACGTCCCTGCATCCAGGGACGCAAAGAATACTATGATCTCTAAACGCATGTGACCTAAATGCAGGGAACCCTGCGTCCACGGATGCATATTCATACCCCTCTCCGAGCTGCGTTTACCACCGCGCAGCCAAAACCTGTCTTTGATTTGTACGTGCCTGTGGCTCCGGGGCGCAGAGATTACGGTGTATAGACCCCTGCAGCTGTGTGAATGAGCCCTGCATGCATTTATATACGAGTATCCAATCTGCCCCAGGACGCACAGATTTCTATCTTACCTAAACACAAGCCACCTAAACGCAGGTAAACACTTATATGCATTGAGCAATGTCTTATAAATGCATGTATGTCATTGGTTGCGTGAATGCGTTACAGTGCGGGAGGTGCGTTGTGTTGCTATTTATGTGAATGGCACCCCATATGCAGCACCCACCCGCAATGTGCTCAAGCGTACTACAACACGCGGTACAACGATACCTTGCATTGCGGCTGGGGAAAAAAGTTGTGCATGCATTACTTCTTTAACTGCACAGCACCTTGGTGTGAACGGGCCCTAAATGTACCTGCATTCACCTGCGTTTACATGCGTTTAGATGCAAGTAGTTCATCAGCCCCTAAATGGCACAGATTTCTATTTTCACAAAATGCAAGTCACCTGACCCACTTAAACACAGGGAAACGCACATGAATGATGCCATGTAAAATCATTACCTGCATTTAGAAATGTCCTATAAAAGCATGCATGTCATTGCCTGTGTGAATGAGTCCTAAATGCACCTGCATTCACCTGCGTTTAGACACCAAGATCTAATCTACCCCTAGATGCAGACATTTCTCTAAAAGCAAGACACCTGATTGCACCTAAACGCAGGTAAACGCGCAGCGCGAATCATGCCGTTTAAAAAAATGTACATGCATTTAGAAATGTCCAACAAAAGCATGCATGTCATTCCCCGTGTGAATGAGTCCTAAATGCACCTGCATTCACCTGCGTTTAGACACCAAGATCTAATCTACCCCTAGATGCAGACATTTCTCTAAAAGCAAGACACCTGATTGCACCTAAACGCAGGTAAACGCGCAGCGCGAATCGTGCCATTTAAAATCATGACATGCATTTAGAAATTCCTTATAAACGCATGTATGCAGTAGGCCTAAAGGTATATAAGATAAAGACCTAAGGTGCATCCGGCTGATTGCTAGCTCTGTGGGCTAGATAGTGCATCGTCCTCCAGAGGGTTATAAAGTGCAGTTACTCACCCCATGCCCATCTCTAAGCTTCAGTATCCCCCTGGAAGAAAGTTTTTGAAGTTTCGGGACGGCTGAGAGAGGGGAAAATTCTGCAGTTTATGCCGTTCTGATGATTTCGTCTCCCTCACATCTCCAACCCCCTCCTATCGGGAGTGCAGAACCAGAGACTTTGTTCATCTTCTGAACTTTGGAGTCCCCCAGCGGTTGGTGAGGACTACAACTCTCCTGTAATATACACCGGGGAAGGGGGGAGGAATCCACATGTTGGCTTAGGGCAAGGTAAGGCGCTCCAGCTGTGCTAAAACCACAAATCCCATCATGCTTCTGCCTCCGGGAGTCATGCCTGTGGCTGTCGGAGTCTTGCAATGCCTCATGGGACTTGTAGTTCCACAACAGCTGGAGCGCCGAGGTTGCCTACCCCTGCCATGTAACATCCCTTCATTTTGCCCAGCAGAAGAAACTATATGACAGGGGTAGGCAACCTAGGCCCTCCAGCTAGCCCCTATCTTAATTTTGGTTGCCCCTGTCTGCCTGACATCTTGTGTCCGGGTTTCTGCTGCCATGAAACCCGAACACAGCATTCAAAACCCGGACTGTCCGGGTGAATCCTGGACAGGTGGCAACCTTAGCCGATGTTGCTTACCCCTACCATGTAACATCCCTTCATTTTCCCCAGCAGAAGGAACTACACGACAGGGGTAGGCAACCTTGGCCCTCCAGCTGTGCTGAAACTACAATCCCATCATGCTTCTGCCTCCAGGAGTCATGCCTGTGGCTATCAGAGTCTTGCTATGCCTCATGGGACTTGTAGTTCCACAATAGCTGGAAGGTTAAACATTGGCTACTCCTGATTTAGTGTCAGGTTAGGGGGGAAGACGGCCGGATCACATGGGCAGGGGGGAACGCGTCATAACGGAGCAGCCAATGGGATTTATTATGGAATGTCTGGGATTTCACAAGACTTGAGAAGCATTTGGTATAAAGCAGCTGATTTCCAATAAATGAGTGCGGAGGGGGGAGCGAGAGAGAGAGAGAGCCATCAACCCGTCCTGTCAAAGTTTAGCTTTAAATACATAAACACGTGGCGCCATTCCAGAAACCGGCAGGAGGGAGAAAAACCTGACAAGACATAACAAAAAAACAAAAAGGAACATGACTCCCAGGTAAAACAATGAGGGGAATTTATGGAAACTGGAGCAGGCAGAATCTGGAGCAGTTTCCATGGCAACCAATCAGCATCCATCTTTCATTTTCAAAGCTTAACTGAAGAGACAGAAGAGAGAAGCTGATTGGTCGTCATGGGCAACGGCTCTCATTCACTCTGCTATAGTTTTGATCAATTTCCCCCCCAATGTGTCATTTACGGCAGTAAAACTTCAGAAGCCATAAAAACTGTTTTTTTTTAGTTCAGTGAATATCCGTGACCTATAACAGGAATAGCAAAACTTGGCTTCAGCTGTTGTGGAACTACAAGTCCCATGAGGCATTCTGATTCTGACTGCCACAGGCATGATCCCCAGAGGCAGATGCATCATGGGATTTGTAGTTTCACCACAGCTGGGCTGTGATCTGTCTGCTACTCAGCCTACCCCTGATCTATACGTTGCTTTTGTCACTCTTTAACTAAAAAGGCATAGTTCGGCGTTTGCAAAAATGTAATAAATGCCCCCACATTAAAGTAGAGCTGAAGCCAAAACTTTATTTTTAATTCTGGATAGAGTAACCCCTGTCAGTCCCATTGGGGAGATTTCCCTTCACTTCCTGCCCGAAAGCCACAACAGGAAGTGAAAGGAAATGCTTCAAAGTGAGAGAAATCACCCTAGTGTCCCCATTGGAAGATTTCCCATCTATTCCTGTTCCAGGGACAACCCAGCATTTGGGATTTTCTTTTACTGTCAGTGATAACGGTCACCAGGGCTAATAGAGAGGGTGAATCTCCCTAACGGGGACACTGAGAGCAATACAAACCTGACAGGAGTTTTAATCCCTCTCGGCTCTATCCAAAACTAAAAAAAAAAAAGGGTTCGGGCTTCATTGCACTTTAATGAAAATTAAAAAATGTGCATTTGTTAAGTTTTGCATTCAAGCCTGCAGAGCATTGCAACCGCGTTCAATGCGATTCCCAGGCTCCTGCATTGTTTACATCTAGGCCCCAGGTCTGTACTAAGGCGCGAGCCGTCAGTTGCAGGGCTGGAGTAAGTAAACCCGGGGTAGGCAACCTCAGCACTCCAGCTATTGTACTGTATATATATAAAAATATCTCAAATCCCCTGTGGGCCTGTCACTATCAAACTACTCATCTAAAAACTGTATTATTGTGTCCCCATCTATTTAAATTAGGGCTAGTAATGATTACATTTTTTGTGTTCGATTAATCGAAAAAAAATTTCATCGTTTAATCGATTAATTTCGATTAATTATAACGCACATACAGTTCCAACTACATTGGCCTATACACATACAGCACAGCAATGAAGTAATAAAATGAACTAGGATCACACTAATCCAGCACGTTATTAATCTCACGTGCCCCACTCAATATGGCCGCCGCTTGAGTGGGGCAACTCAGAATAATAACGTGCTGGATTAGTGTGATCCTAGTTCATTTTATTAGTTCATTGCTGTGCTGTATGTGTATAGGCCAATGCCTTGGCTGGCGCTCGTGCAGAACGTTTCTTGGGCAAACTCACCGGCCCAAGTGGCTCCGTCAGCTAACGAAGGGGGGAGGAGTCCGGTGACGTCACGGACATCACCGGACTCCTCCCCCCTTCCCTCCGTTAGCCGTCACGGACATCAACGTCACCGGACTCCTCCCCCCTTCCCTTCGTTAGCCGACGGAGCCACTTGGGGAAGGAGTCCGGTGACGTCGATGTCCGTGACGTCACAGGATCGCCGACGGGACTCCCGGAAGCCGGAGGAGAGTGTTTTCATTAGCGATCAAAATTATTTTAATCGATCAAAAAGTTTAATGATTGATCGAGAAATTCATCTTTAATTTCCACGGCCCTAATTTAAACCCTCCTAATTGAGTACTCACTATTATCACGACTGTACGCCATGGTGCGCTAAATGCAGGCTCAGGCTTATAGAGTATGACAAGTTCCGAAGTATGCTCATATTGCTCTTAGGAAAAGTTAAATTTAAAGTGACATTAAACCCTCAGATTTTTTAACATAAACCAATACTGTAATGTGCGCCTTACTGCAATCCATGGTAGTTTCCCTTCTCTTTGCTGCTCTTCCTTTTAAATCCTCATGTCTTCTCATGCTTGGGGAGAACTTCCCTTTTCAGCTCAGGGCCTCTTCCTGTAGTGCTGGCTCAGGTTACAGGCCTATACAAACTTATACACAGACACCGTGTATCCATTCCTGAGACAAGGCAGTCTGCTGCAAAACAGAAGTTCTGCAGAGCATGAGAACAGATACAAATTTAAAAGGAAGAGCAGCAAAGAGAAGGGAAACTACCATGGATTACAGTAAGGCGCACATTACACTATTGTTTTATGTTAAAAAATCTGAGGGTTTAATGTCACTTTAAGTTACTTGATAAAATGTATTTAATAGTCTAAAAACTGGATTATGCCCCAAGATGATATACATACAGTATATAAAATCATGGCCAAGAGTGCCATCTTGTGGTCACTTCGGATAATGCATTGCTAAAAAAAGAAACCCCTGCTAAAACAGTATACAGTCTGCCGCTGCTAAGCTCTTCTTATGAAAATAATGGTTCCCTGGCTGCTATGCTGATCCCAAGGTTTCAGTGCTTTCCTCTGACTTCACTAGATTCATGCGTGTTCATCGAGAGGGCCCATCTCCAACAGTTTTCACTTGACCAGATATCCCAAATAGAAGATATTTTGTTTGGTGACCACTGTAAAATTTTGGATTTTCTATCAGTTTTATTTTTACATATTGTTGTCAAATATCACCAGGACATGTAAAAAGATTGAATCTCACAGACAACGATGGAAATCTGACAGCAGGAGGCCTTCCCTATATCAAAGCTTAGTAGCATGGTGGAAGGAGAAGAGGAAGGCTGTTGTTGTGTCTCGACTGCAGCCACAATAATAGTGTGTATGTCTAGTGTGCAGAGTATGTTGCGGGTGAAGTGCAATTGATGGGAAATTAGTGACGGTGGAATGTGGGCGTGGATTCGGTGTATCATGATTTTTGCAATTATTTTATAGTCTGTATTAGGTAATGAAACAGGGCGGTAAGATTAAACATATTTAAGATCTTTCCCCTGTTCGGGAATAAGGGTATTATAGGCTGCATTGATTTCAGGATAGGGGGTATTACTATAGAGAATAGTATTATAAAGGCCTGCAAGAACCGGGGATACCTCCATGGATAAAAGTTTATAAATGTCAGCTGGGTAGCCAACCGAACCTGGGGTCTTTATATTCCGCTGTCAGGGAAGGCCCCACATCCCCCAGGTAAAGTATCGCATCATCGGCGTAGAGTGAAAGCTTCTCCATCAATCTCCCCACTGGGAGCCTCACCACCCGGACCGAGGCCCGAAGCAGGATAGCTATAGGTTCCATCGCCAGTGCAAATAGTCCAGGCGAGAGGGGACAGCCCTGTCTCGTGCCCCGGCCCAGGCCGAAGGGGCTCGACAGCATATTGTTGATGCGTACTCTGGCAGTGGGAGAAGAGTAGAGGAGCCGTATCCAAGCGATAAAGCGACCCCCAAACCAAATCTATGGAGGACTGCAAACAGGTAGGGCCATTCAACCGAGTCGAACGCCTTCTCGATATCGAGGGATGCCACTGCTTCCTGCCCCCGTGATGCGCGGAGCCTATCCACATTAGTGAAGAGGCGCCTTAGGTTAACATCTGTCCCCCTCCCAGGCATAAATCCAGTCTGGTCTCCATGTATCAGCAGGGTGATGACAGAGGTGAGCCTATTAGCCAGCATACGGGTAAGGATCTTGAGATCCACGTTTAAGAGGGATATTGGGCGATAAGACGAACACTGCTCAGGGTCCTTCCCCGGTCTTGGGTACCACCACTATGATTGCCTCCATCATGGAGGGAGGTAGAGCACCCGTCCCACTAGCCTCCCCATAGGTATGCAATAGGTGGGGGGCCACCCCCTCAGCATGGGTCTTATAGAACTCCACCGGGAATCCATCTGGACCCGGCGTCTTACCGGTTTTTAGGGAGGAGATGGCCCTCGCCAATTCCTTGTCAGTGAAGGGTGTATCCAGTGCTACACGAGAGGCCAAGGGCAGTTTAGGGAAGTCAATCCTGTCAAGGTAGGTCGAGAGATCGAGGTCGTGTTGCGGGCCGGCAAGGGCGAGGGGTTGCTGGGGCGGCCTGTAGATGATTTACGGCGCCCCCGAGACATACCCTCCGGTAAAGGAGAGTGGCAGAACCCGGTCCCGTAGCGAAACGAGCGCTCCACAGTGCTATAACTAGCAGGATGATAGATAGGGTGACGGAGCACAGCTATTACACGTGTGCTCCGGTCGCCATCTTGGACACGCCTCCTGGGGTCTTTATATTTGCTGAGCACTTTATTGCACGTTGTATTTCCTCCATAGTGACTGCTGAGTTAAAAAAGAAACCTCACAAAAATATATATTTATTTTATCCACCAGGGGACCAAATGCATAGAGCACTTGGTTCCATTCAGATTGGTGGCACCTCTTTATTTATGGTAATGCTGGCTGTAGCTCCACTCCAGTCCGAAGCCTAAAATATGGGCAAGAACCGGCTCTGGCTGCCACTCAGCTCCGCAGGGCTGTGATCTGTCTGCCACTCAGCTCCGCAGGACTGTGATCTGTCTGCCACTCAGCTCCGCAGGGCTGTGATCTGTCTGCCACTCAGCTCCGCAGGGCTGTGATCTGTCTGCTACTAAGCTCCACAGGGCTGTGATCTGTCTGCCACTCAGCTCCGCAGGACTGTGATCTGTCTGCTACTGAGCTCTGCAGGACTGTGATCTGTCTGCTACTAAGCTCCGCAGGACTGTGATCTGTCTGTCACTTAGCTCCGCAGGGCTGTAATCTGTCTGCTACTAAGCTCCGCAGGGCTGTGATCTGTCTGCTACTGAGCTCCGCAGGGCTGTGATCTGTCTGCCACTAAGCTCCGCAGGGCTGTGATCTGTCTGCTACTCAGCTCCGCAGGGCTGTGATCTGTCTGCCAGTCAGTTCTGCGGAGCTGTGATCTGTCTGCCGAGGCTGTGTATTTACAAGCAGCCCCGGCAGATAAATCACATAGCCCTGTAGCACTGAGTGAGCTTTATGAATAGAAGCACACTTAGCTCAGTGCTGTAGGGGCTGCATCATACACTTTACTGGCCCTGACAGTGCTGATTGTTCATTTATAAAAGCTCACTCCGTGCTGCAGGGCTATGTGATCTATATGCCGGGGCTTCTTGTAAAAACACATACATTTAGGAGTTTGTGGTCTGATTACTTTGGCAAGAAGAACGATTTTGTTACTCTGCCTGTAAAATGTATAGTCAATATATAGCAATTGTTGTGTATGGGTGACAACAATTGCATTCAGAGGAACTACAGCTTCCTATAAGTTCCAAGAACAGTGGCTTGCAGGTGAATGTACTTTAAATATGTTTCCTTTTTGGCAGCGGAAGTGTAAACTAGAATGTGTCCTCGAAGAAAACTACTTTTGCAGTTTGCCAAAAAAGGACAAGTGCGTCCCTGTGAATTATGTTGTTGTCCAGATACTCGGCCCAGACGAGTTGTAGAAAAGTCTTGAATTGATGTGGCTTAGTACAGTACATGGGGATACGAGGGGCCTAGGGCTACTGGAATGTATGTTCAAAGAGAGCGTAATAGCACAGTGATCAGAGAGAGAGAGAGAAAGTTGCAATAGTAGTGTTATTCACTTTGCAGAAAAGACAGTCTGCTACAAGGAAGTAATCTATTCCAGGGAAGGATGCATGGGCTTTAGAATAACACGTGTAGTTACATTCCCATTTGTGGAGTATTCTCCAAGCATGGTGTATTCATTAGAAGACATTGCAGGCCTTCATTGGAATCAGAATGCATGGTATTGGATGGGTTAGAATGGTTAATGGGTTAAAATTTAAGTCACCAGCTACTATCAAATTGGGATATTCTTTAGTTGAGAGCAATTGAGTGAGGAGTACAAATAAAGGGAGGAACCATTGTTAGGTGCAGGGAGAAAGGGTTACTGCTGCTGCTATCTCTAGTTCCTGCAATATGTATCTACTCTCTGGGTCCAGGGTAGTGTGAAGAGTTGTGTATAGGTGCCCATACACCTTACGACCATCGCAAGACTTTTGTCTTGCGATGGTCGTAAGCTTATTAAAAGCTCGTACGATCTGCCCACCTTGGACAGGCAGATCGTACTTGCGATCAGCAAAAGCCCGCCCTGCTTAGGGGCGGTTTTCCGATGACCGCAGTGAGGGGCGGGCTTCCGATCACTGCAAATGGGCAGTGTGCGCGTGCGCACACCGGCCCGTTCGGCAGTTGTCGAACAAGCAGGCCACTAAACCGCCGAGAATCGTACGATTCTCGGCGGGTTTTCAAGTCTGCTTGTTCGACGCAAGACGTGCGACCGTTCAGTAGAAACGGTCGCACGCCTTCCATACACTGTACGATTGTCGTACGACCGCGGGATTTCCCGCGATTCTCGTACGAGAATCGTACAGTGTATGGGCACCTTATGGAAGAAACGTATTGAGGAGGACAGCTACTCCTTTTTTCTTAGATTTAGAGGAGGTAGCAATTGATCCCCCTATCCAATTATCTTTTACGTGGTTGATGTGGCCAGATTTCCGGTGGGTTTCTTGTATAAAGACAATATTAGGTTTTAAACAGAGAGACTTTATTTCTCTTAACCAGCTGCCACCCGCCGACTGTACATAAACGGCCAGACAGTCGCCTTCTAGATGCAGGTGAGCGTTTTAAAACGTCCTTTGCGCACCGCCTGGCGAGCACAAGTGGAAAACTGTCAAAATTTTAAACAGCCAGCGATGGCTATTTACATGCAAGAGGTCCAGCTTCTGTAGAGACGCCCGATCGCTTGTATGTTGTGCCTTCCTGCGCAACCCCTCCCTCCACCCGGGAACGGCACTGTGGCTCTGTACATGATCTCCCTCTGATATCTGATCTCTCTCTGATCTCCCCTCCGGTGTTGTGAGTGTGAGTGATATATATTGCATCACTTCCGCATTCAGCTGTCACTCTCCGGCTACAAAAGCCGGAGAGAAGCTGGTGAAGCAGATCTGTGCTTCAACTGCTTCTTTGGGGATCCCTAGGTGACATTAGGGGGTCTTAGAAACCCCTGATGTCTCCATAAAGAGGACCTGTCACTGTAATTTGATATCACTTAGGGGGTTTCTTAGCCCTCTATGTGATAACAGTAAAGTGAAGTGTAAAAAAAAAAAAAGTAAAAAAGAAAAATTAAAGCCACAGAAAAAAAGTTAAAGTCCCCCACATACACGCGCAAACATGCACCAGGTGCGCCTATGTGCGAAAACGATGACATTACATATCATCGTGAACGTCAGAGTGTGAGCAATAATTTTAGGGCCATCAATCACTGCTAACACTAAATTGATGAGTGGTGAAAGCTTTAAAAGCATCGTCTATAGCCAATTTTGGGTATGGTAGTTTTTGAGGATTTCGCGGGCGTACACAATTTTAAGGCTTGTTTGGTGTCTATTTACCCGACGTGACGCCGTCTTTTATGTTTTTGCAAAAAAATTGGGGTGATATTAAATGTTTCATAACATAATAAAGGGAAAAGTTTTTTACAACATTTTCGGTAATTTTTTTTTTGTTATAAAAAAATTAAAATAAAACCCCCCAGTGATTAAATACCACCAAAAGAAATCTCCATCTGTCCCCAAAAAATGGTATAAAATTAATTTCAGTACAGCGTTGCATGCCGGAATAAATGTCAGTCAAAGTACCGCAGCGCTGAATACGGAAAAATGGCCAGGACAGGAAGGGGGTGTAAACACCGCGGTCTTCAAGTGGTTAATCGGGGTATTCAGGTCTGCTTGCATGCATTTATTTGTTCTTTTGTTCTCCTGCTGCCTTTCTATTTTTTGAGTGCCTGTTATCTTTCTCCAGTTCAGTCAGAGTGATCTCTTTTTCTTGCTTTAGGTTTTGCATGTCAGTCTTGCACGATACGATTGGCAGTCACAGTCATGGCACAAAAGCTGGCCATATACTGCTGGAATCTAGGCCATGTCATGCTTAGTCGGCCAAAAACTGAGCAACTCATGGCCCTGCTGGCAACCCTCTGTTCAACAAAAGGACTATTTCCTTGTTAACCACTTGAAGTCCGCGGTGTTAAAGGAGAACTATGAGGTGAGTGCTTTTCACTCACCTCATAGTTCTAGCCGACCTGTGACAATGAGACTGTCACAGGTCGGCTCAGTAGATCGGGAGGTGAGAGAACACATACCGGCGTTCGTTTACCTCTCGATCCACGGCTCTCTGCCGTGACAGGGGAGGGGCTGGATTCCTCCCCGCTCCGATCCGCCAGCGCTGACTGGCGGAACGGACGGGGGAGGGGCGGGTACAGCTGACTCTGCCTTTAGATAGGCAGAGCCAGCTGTCACTCACGCAGCTGGGCGGATCCCGGCATAATTGTCAGTATACCGCGGTGGGTGGCTTGCTTGCAACACATGGCTTGCTTGCCATGTGTTGCAACAACCTCCTAACTCCTCGTGTGCTCAGTGATGCACAGCTTTGGCTTCAAGTGAAACTTTTTGTTTAGATTGGGAAATGTTCAGATCACTATCAGTGTTTTATTGCTGTCTGTGACCCACTGGGGACCTTTACCACTACTTCCTGTCCTGGTGCAAGAGGAATGGGTGTCATGAAGACAGGAAGATGTTGGAATTGATGTCATTGGGTAAGGGTGATGGGGAAATGGGTGTCGAAGGGACAGAAAAGTGAGGGCACACGTGTCAACAGTAACAAACTGTTTACGGTCAACTCTGTAACAAAGACCAGAGGGCACAACCAAAAATTGGTGGAAAGAAAATGTCACCACACAGGGCGCAAGGGGTTCTTCACAGTTAGAGCGGTTAAGGTTTGGAACTCGCTGCCACAGGAAGTGATTTCAGCTAAGAGTGTGGAATCATTCAAGAGACTCCTGGACGAGTTCCTGGGAGAGCATAACATACAGAGGTACAGGTATAGCTAAGAGAAAAATCGCACATGGACTCGTACACATGCACACATCAGCTCATAAATGCATACACACAATAGGTTGGACTTGATGGACTTGTGTCTCTATTCAACCTCAAATACTATGTGTCACTGTAATGGGGAAATGGGGCATTGGGTGTCACCAGGATGGGAAGGTGAGAGAATGGATGTTAAAAACATATTATCGCGCTTTGGCTTTTATTAAGAATTGGATCATTGGAATCAAAACAGTGAAACGGCAGTCCCCAGGACAGAAAGATGCAGGCACATGTATCACTGGCATGGAAACATTTGGGAACTGTTGTCAACAGGGCAAAGACAAGGGTACAGGTGTCAAATGGACAGGAAGGTGAGGTAACAGGTGTCACCAGGACAGGAAGATGAGGGTACAGGTGTCAAATGAACAGGAAAGTGAGGTAACAGGTGTCACCAGGACAGGAAGACGAGGGTACAGGAAGGCAAGGGCACAGGATGCAAATAGACAGGAAGGTGAGGCAACAGGTGTCACCAGGACAGGAAGATGATGGTACAAGTGTCAAATGAACAGGAAAGTGAGGTAACAGGTGTCACCAGGACAGGAAGACGAGGGTACAGGAAGGCAAGGGCACAGGATGCAAATAGACAGGAAGGTGAGGCAACAGGTGTCACCAGGACAGGAAGGTGAGGCAACAGGTGTCACCAGGACAGGAAGATGATGGTACAAGTGTCAAATGAACAGGAAGGTGAGGTAACAGGTGTCACCAGGACAGGAAGACGAGGGTACAGGCTAAAAATGGACATTAAGGCGAGGCAACAGGTGTCACCACCAGGAGGATAAGGGTACAGGTTCACCAAGACAGTAAGAAATAGGAATAGGTGTCACCAGGACAGTAAGACAAGGGAATAGGTGTCGCCAGGACAGGAGGACGAAGGAATGCGTGTCACCAGGACAGTAAGACAAGGGAATAGGTGTCACCAGGACAGGAAGACGAAGGAATGCGTGTCACCCGGACAGAAAGCCAGATAATAGGGGTTACCAGGACAAGAAGATGAAGTAATGAGTTTCACCAGGACAGTAAGTCAGGTAATAAGGGTTACCAGGACAAAAGGATGAGTTAATGGGTGTCACCAAGACAGTAAGACAAAGAATGGGGGTCACCAGAGCAGAAAGATGAGGTAATGGGGCCACCAGGACAGGAAGATAAGTTAATAGGGTCACCAGGACAGGAGGATGAGGTAATGGGGTCACCAGGACAGTAAGTCAGATAATGGGGGCCACCAGGACAGGAAAACGAGGGAATACCTGTGACCAGGACAGTAAGACAGATAATAGGGGGTCACCAGGACAGGAAGATGAGGGAATAGGGGTCACCGGGACAGGAAGATGTGATAATGCATGTCCCCAGAACAGAAATATGAGGGATTAGGGGTCACCAGGACAGTAAGATGAGGAAATGGGAGCAAATGGGTGTCACCAGGACAGAAAGACACTAACAGCAGTGAACAGAGGCGCTAATCCTTCCCCACAGAATCCCAAACTGGAGTTACAATCTTTTCTATAGAAAGAACATTCCACACACACCAATAACTTAAATATATATTGAAATATAATATCATGTTGATTAAAAAAAATAAGGGCAGTATCTAATATAAGTATAGAATAATTAAACAATTGCATTATCAGTGATATAGATATCTGTTATTTGTATATAAATAATAAAGTGTTATTATAGTAGTGATATTACCCCAGTTACTAGATCTCTATGGACCTGTGATGGGACAGAAGATATGGCTGTAGAATACGGCACGATGTACACATATGTGTCTTGTAGTATTGAGGGGTAATAATAAAATGAATTTATAAACATTGTAAATAATGAAAAGTAATATATTTATACGGAACTCCATCAAAATACAAACACACACTCTCACGTGACCTTTCCCCTACATGTGGCTGGCTCCTCCCACTTGTCACTGTGTTCTAGCCGAATCTCCGCCCTCAGGTGACATTGCCAGCATAACGGCGACAAAAGCCCCGCCCACCCCGTACTCCTCATCCGTTTTAAGCCAATCAGCGAGATGCGGGGTAAAGAGAGTTTACAATATAGGAGTGGAGAACACTATAGAAAGATGGTAGACACAGAAAAAAGGGTCTACAGACAGGTGGAGGGGTATTAGATGGGTCAGCTGATGGTAAGGGAGTTGAGAACTTTACCTGGAAAGCCAAGTGCATTATGGGAATGGATCCTATTTGTACAGGGAAGGTAAAAACATTGTGGCTCCTTAGCTGCCTTAGGGGAGGGGTGTCTGGGGAGCACAGATGTGGGGTGTCTGGGGAGCACAGATGTGGGGTGTCTGGGGAGCACAGATGTGTGGTGTCTGGGGGGCACAGATGTGGGGTGTCTGGGAGCACAGATGTGGGGGGCTTTGTGCGGAGAGGCGTTCCGATTGAGCTGTATTATGGGTAAAGGTGGCCATACACTGTACAACCATCGCAAGACCTTAGTCTTGCGATGGTTGTACAGGGGTTAAAAAAACGTACGATCTGCCTATCTTGGACAGGCAGATCGCACTCTCGATCATCGCAAGCCCGCCCCCCTGAGGGGCGGGCTTCCGATGACCGCAATGCTGAACGGGCAGTGTGCGCGTGCGCACACCGGCCCGTTCGTCATTTGTCTTCCGAGCACCGTTCTAACCAGCCGAGAATCGTACGATTCCCGGCTGGTTTTCGAACCTGCTGGTTCGACGGAAGACGTGCAACCGTACAGTAGAAACGGTCGCACGTCTCCGTTCACACTGCTCGATTCTCGTACGATCGCGGGATTTCCCGCGATTCTCGTACGAGAATCGAGCAGTGTATGGGCACCTTAAGGCCTACACTAGAGCAGAGACTTGCAGTTACACTGTGTATCCACACCTGGATAGAATTTGTTAGGAAGACGCATTATTGGGTGGAGAGTCCCTTTAAACCTGAGGCGCTCAGGTGACCTGTACAGATCTGTCCCCGATAGTGCTGAGCCCATCGGGCAGATGTGAAAGGTGAAGCGCGCTCGGCACAAATAAAAGGAAGGCGACGTCTGATTTTAGAAACGCATTTCAAGTGATAGTTTCTCTGTCAGAGAGCTCGTCCAAACCACTTCTTCCTCTTTTCTTTTCTTCTCCAGGATACCCTTTGGCCTTATTCCACCGGTACTTCCTCTTTAAGAAGCAACCATCCCATATCCATCTGTTCAACACGGTGACTGGGATCTGCATCGCCTACTACAACTTCGGTATGTGTTTGGGGAGGGAGCGGAGGGAGCAGGTGGTTACTAGATCCCTGCCAGCTCCAACTGTATGATGCAATGTGCGGAGCCCAACATGGCCGACCCCCTGGCTCTCCGGGAAATGCCCGGTGTAACTGGTTTTAGATGCCGTATAAAATAGATAACCGGGAAAGCTCAACCTTGCATCCACGAGCGAGTCCGGGCTCTAAAAATAAAACCTATTGACTATCTAGGACAATTGTGAGGCCAAATTATGAAAGATGGAAGTGGTCACGCTTACTTTTTCCTACGAAGGATATGTATTGACTGCTGCGACTGGGTACTATGAGCTCCCTTTGTATGTTTTAGGGCTCATTCATACCAGTGGGCACATCCGTATGACATACAGAGACCTTTCTTCCAGATCTGTTCAGCAATCCATTGTGAGACTTGGAGCTTCCTGTAATAAAGACCGGTCACTGCTGTCCTATCTCCCTGTGCAGGGTGACTGGTCTTGTCTCCGC